TTTACATCTAGTTGACAGTGTTTACATCTAATTGACAGTGTTTACATCTAATTGACAGTGTTTAAATCTAATTGACAGGATTTAAATATAACTGATAGTGTTAACATCTAATTGACAGTGTTTACATCTAATTGACAGTGTTAACATCTAATTGACAGTGTTTACATCTAATTGACAGTGTTTACATCTAATTGACAGTGTTAACATCTAATTGACAGTGTTTACATCTAATTGACAGTGTTTACATCTTATTGACAGTGTTAACATCTAATTGACAATGTTTATATCTAGTTGACAATGTTTACATCTAACTGACAGTGTTTACATCTAATTGACAGTGTTAACATCTAACTGACAGTGTTTACATCTAATTGACAATATTAACATCTAATTGACAGTGTTTACATCTAATTGACAGTGTTAACATGTAATTGACAGTGTTAACATCTAATTGACAATGTTTATATCTAGTTGACAATGTTTACATCTAACTGACAGTGTTTACATCTAATTTACAGTATTAACATCTAATTGACAGTGTTTACCTCTAAATGACAGTGTTAACATCTAATTGACAATGTTTACATCTAGTTGACAATGTTTACATCTAGTTTACAATGTTTACATCTAACTGACAGTGTTTACATCTAATTGACAATGTTTACATCTAGTTGACAATGTTTACATCTAACTGACAGTGTTTACATCTAATTAACAGTATTAACATCTAATTGACAGTGTTTATATCTAAATGACAGTGTTAACATCTAATTGACAGTGTTTACATCTAATTGACAGTGTTAACATCTAATTGACAGTGTGTACATCTAATTGACAGTCTGTACCTCAAAGTGACAGTGTTTACATCTAATTGACAGTGTTAACATCTAACTGACAGTGTTTAACTGTTCCTGTATTTATGAAACCATTCTCATGCTCATGCACAGATTCTATTCTCAAGCCACCTTTTTTATAACTCTGTTAAATGACTCCTCCCCCTACGTAGAATACCAGTGAAAGTTACTTACAAAGATACACGGTTCCTCCCCTACAATGAATGTCAGTAACAATTACCCACAGAAATACACTGTTACACATAAGTAACTTTTACTGAAGTTCTTCGTATAGTGTAAAAATTACTGACAGAGATACACCATTTCCTCCCCCTACCAAGAATACCAGTAAAAGGTTACTTACAGAGATACACTGCTTCTCCCCTTTGTAGGATATCAGTAAAAGTTACTTACAGAGACACACTGTTTCCTCCCCCTACGTAGAATGTCAGTAACATTTACTTACAGAGAAACACCGTTTCCTCCCCCTACGTAGAATTTCAGTAACATTTACTTACAGAGATACACCGTTTCCTCCCCCCTACGTAGAATGTCAGTAACATTTACTTACAGAGACACACCGTTTCCTCCCCC